CTCTTAACTGATGATAGCCTGATCTGAGGTCAATCTTGAAAAACAAGTGGCACCCTGAAGCTGATCGAAAAGATCATTAATCCTCGGAAGAGGGTACTTATTCTTGATGGTAACCTTATTCAACTGGCGGTAATCTATACACATTCTAAGGGAACCATCTTCTTTCTCACAAACAAGACCGGAGCGCCCCAAGGTGAGACACTTGGTCGAATGAAACCTTTATCTAGGAGATTTTCAACTGCTCTTTCAACTCTGCTGGTGCCATTCTATAAGGCGAAATAGAGATAGGACGAGTATCTGGAATGAGATCTATGCCGAACTCTATTTCTCTCTCAGGAGGAATTCCGGGTAGACTATCAGGAAAAAACTTCTGGAAACTCTCTTACTATAGGAACTTACTGGAAATGAGGTATCTCAACACTAGAGTCATTAACTCGGACTAAGTGATAGACACAACCCTTCGAAACTAACTTTCTTGCCTTAAGGTACGAAATGAAACGACCCCTAGGCACTGTTGAACTACTACTCCACTTTATGACTGGCTCACTCGGAAACTGAAACTTGACCACTCGAGTTCTACAATCTATCGATGCATAACAACATGAAGCCAATCCATACCTAGAATGACATCAAAATCTACCATGTCTAACTCAACCAAATCAGCCATGGTGCTCTTGTGATTGATAGAAACAGGACAATCACGATAAACTCTTTCTGCTAAAATAGACTCCCCAATAGGTGTAGAAACACAAAGGGTTCACAAAGTCTTTCAGGAAGAACATCAAACTTATTTGCAACATAAGGAGTTACAAAAGATAAACTTTCTCCTGGGTCTAGCAAAGCATACACACCAAAAGCAAAGACTTTGATCATACCAGTGACAACATTTGGAGAAATCTCTTGCTCATGGCGACTGGTGATTGCATAGAGGCGGTTTGCTCCTCCGCCGGTACTAGAAGTAGCTCCTCTAGGTGCCGTCCTGTCTGGGGGAGCAACTGAAGAAAATTGGGCCCTATGCCCAAATTTCCACTACCTTGCTTATTCTTAGGGCACTCATTCATGAAGTGACCCTCTGCCCACACTTAAAACAACCTGTTTGGCCATCACGACATTTACTGGGGTGGGTTCTACCACACCTAACACATGCAGGAATCGAACTACTTCCTTGTGCCACACTACCCGAAGACTGTGCTGGTCTAGCCTTGAAGTCCTTCAAATTCTGGCCATTAAATTCACCTCTGTATATGGGTGCAAGTGTTGTAGCAGATGATGGAGCAGGTCCCTTCTGCCTTTGCTGAAAGGATGAATGGTTTGAATTACCTTTTTGCTGGCCGGACTCGCTACCGGTCTTAGCTTCTTATTTCTGAACTCTTCTCTGTCCCTCAACTTCTCTTCCTCAACCTGCTGCACATAGACCATCAACCTTGATATGTCCATGTCCCCGATAAGCATTGCAGCCCTACCTTCCTTACTTGACAATCGAGACAGCCCAGCAACAAATAAACTCATTCTATTTCTCATGTCCGCAACCATCTCCGGAGCATAGCGGGATAGTTGTGTGAACTTCAGACTGTACTCATAAACACTCAAAGACTCCTGCTTAAGTGTGAGGAACTCACGTACCTTGGCCTCTCTCAATTCTCGAGGAAAGAAACGCCCCAAGAAAGCTTCCTCAAAACCGGCCCAACTCACAAGTGGTGCATTCTCAGCTCTGCTCCTTTTCCACTGGTCAAACCACGTTCTGGCAACATCTTTCAATTGATACACAACTAGTTCAACCCGCTCAATATCTGCCATGTGCATCACATCAAAAATCTTTTTCAACTCCTCAATGAAGTTCTCTGGATCCTCAGTAGTGGTTGAACCCATGAAACTCGGAGGATTCATCCCCAAGAACTCACGAATCCTTGAAGTGTCAGCTCCTTCATGTCGAGCTCCCATTTGCTGACCAATCTGATTAGTTACAGCTAGACTCAGAATTCTAATTGCCTCTCTGAACTAGGCATTAGAAACTTCCCCTTGATGTTGCACTCCCAGTGCATTAGGTAACTCTTGGTCATCAACATAACGTCTAGGAAGACGCCCTCTACCAACTCTTCGTGGAGGCATGACTATCTGAAACACGCGCAAGCACGGATTAGAAAGAAACTTTTAGAGATCAACACTAACGCACGAGATGAGTGTGAAAGAAGTGAGAAATCTTCCTAAATGTTATAGCCTCCGAATTATAGATGTGGCGCGCTTCACACCGATAACTAGGACTCTACAGACACGGCTTCATAGACTCCCTAGGACTCTTGAACTCTGGGCTCTGATTCAAAGTTTGTCACGCCCCAAGCCTACACCCTAGACGTGGCCGGCACTCGAAGACCATTGCTAGCCCCAAGCGAACCCTTGGCCTGACTTTCTTAACTCAACGGAAATCTAACTTAACAGAATAACTCCATGCAATACAAGGACATAAAACAACTTAACTGATAAAAATCTGGCCAAAAAGGCAACTAGAGTCCCAAAGTAGAATATTTACATATATACATATATGAGAGACTCAAAACTAACTGACTGACTGTCTATGAAGCCTCTATAATACTGAGATGGATGTTGGGACAGACCCCACAATATCCTAATAAGACAAAACTAAGAGAACAAAACAATCGAGTCCTCCGGAAAGCAAGGAGGCTCACCACTGACTCTGGAGTGCTCAACTGGGTCAACGGCGTGCAGTGTGCTGATCCTGGGTACCTACGTCTGATCATAATAAGATGCAGGCCAACTGGCATCAGTACATGGAATGTACGAGTATGCGAGCTACAAAGCTAAACCACATCTAAAGCTTGAAATGAGTACAAGAGAACACTTACCTTGGCTATGTACTACTCATGAATAACTGAACTCAATGTACAAAGCAATAAGACACATGCAAATATATAAATAGCTTGTAAAACATTGTAAACAACTTAATCTGTTAATGATAAAACAATAACAACTCAACTTTACTTATATAAAAGTAATATAACTTTAGTTGGGAAATTCTTTAACCAACAACCACCACTATGAGCCCTAGTGGTGATACAACGTTTTACCTCACGTTGCCCAAGGACCATCCTATACCTTGCCGTGATATAGGACCTTACTTTAACTTAGTGGATCCACTAGCTTATTCTTACGTGATTATCTAAAAAGAATGATCCGTCAAGTCCCATGTTGGCGCATGGTTCTTATGGAGAGTTAAGTTAATATGAACTCGTGTCCCCAATTCGGTGCTCAATACTACTCCCAAAAATACTTTGGCTCATAAGTGCTTTAACACATCTTTCTTTAGTTGAGGTAATTACTTAAAACTTAGCCCAACGGCTCTTTTGGAAAACATGGCTCCCCTTTTACTTAAATGTAAAAACATTTATAAACTTCTTTGGGAATACTTAGTTCTCTAATAGCTTTTAAGAAATGAACTCCAGTTTAAACTCTTAACTTAACTTGAAACTTGAGACTCTTTACTTAGATTTAACTCTATACTCTTTACTCGACTTGAACTTGAACCTTAAAAAGAAGGTAAAACGTTTAAGAACGACTCTTGAAAAGCTTTAGAGACTTGCTTGGACTTACTTCTTAACTTTGCTTGACTTGACTCTAACTTCACTTTGACTTTGTACTAACTCGCCTTGAATTGGATTATGGATTCAAGGTATATGATCACACGTTTATGGAAGAGTTCTTGACATTTAGACATACCTAGGAGTGTGGGAAACAACTAGGAAACATAGGTACAATACCAAGAAACATGCATGAAAGAGTGAGGAATAAAAGGGAAACTTGGCGTCCTTGGCGCTCTGCAAGGCGCGGAGCGCCAGCCCTCAAAGCTCAGAAGGCCAGCTGAGGCGCTCTGCTAGGTGTGCTGCCCCAAGGGGGAAAGTTCAGAACCCCTTTTGGGGCGCGCTAGCAGGCGCGACGCGAAACCCCTTTCCCCAGAAAACTCGACTTTTCTCCCTTTTTTCTCCAACTCTAAACCTTCTAAACTTCAAGATTTCCAGCCCAAACACTAAGGATCATAAAATCCCTCAACATACAAGAGATTTAACTCAAAAACACAACCAAACCATGTCCCAAATCAACAAGAACTTCAACAACAAAATCAACAACACCAACAACATAACCAACAACTTCAACAACACAACCAACAACTTTGATGGGTGAGGGATTGAACCAACTCAGTACTATGAACTCACATACCTAGTAGGGATCACCCCCGACAATATCCACGACGATCCTTGACGAAAATCCTTGCTTGATCTTCTCTTTCTTCTCTTTTTCTCCTCTTCACTCTCAAACCCTTACTCTCACTCTCACTCTCACTCTCACTTTTAGTCTTACTCTTTAAAAATGAGACAAAACTGATCTAAAAATCAATCTAACACAACAATATAACAAAAAGAATTGGTTAGGGAAAAGAGCAAAATACCCTTAAATTTTACGGACGGATTTCCCTGTCAACTGCCCAACTTCCAAAGGGCATAACTCACTCATA